TCAGACTCATTCTTCCAACCACAATTTATCCCATCAATGGAAAAAAAACACCTCTGTGCCCTGTGTAATACTGCTGCATCACCTCGCCTGTTTACCTGTTGCTATGTGTGGTGGAGCTGCCTGAGCCCCACCAATAGTGAATATTGGTGGAGACAAGAGCACAAAAAGCAGCTTAGACAGAAATAACAGCAAAACAAATCTCATTGTTTACAACAAAACAAAAAAGATGTCCAAACAACAGACACAGCTTCTTTCTTGGTCACAAGTTATTTTAGTCTCTCGTTTCTTCGTCCTTTGTCTTTCTTTACTGTTTTTTTAATATAACGATGAAGCTTTACACAGCTGTTAACTGATAGAGCTGATCAAGGCGAGCCATTCCACTTCCCAGTAATCCTATTGTACAGAAATTGGCTGCAATGCAACCAGTGCGGGGTGGAGGCTGCATGACGATAGTCCTAAATCAATACAAGTGATTTAGAGAAACATCTAAAACAATAGACAAAGTAGGACACTATTTATATTGGTTTTAAAAGTACAGCAACAATATCCCTGTAATTTCCATTATAAGGATGACTATTTTGCCCATAAACCACTAACATTCTGCTAATACATGCCATGTCTATTTCTAAACTAGACCTTAAAAGCACAATTAAACTACAGCAGAAGCATGCATACAGTTTGTGTACTGCACTAAAAGCTGATTTTTGTGGTGGCTACTGACTGACTACTGCTAGAAGATACCTGAATGTTATAGAGTGGCTCATGGTGCTGGCAAGTCCCTAATACTTAGAGAAATATATTTTATTACAATCAAAACCCTGAAAAATGCAAAAATGGGTTCATATTCAATCCATCCATCTATCCATCCATTTTCTTCTGGTTATTCGGTCGCAGGAGCAGCAGCCTAAGCAGAGAAGCCCAGCTCTCCCTCTAACCAGCCACCTCCTCCAGCCTGTCCGGGGGAGAACATTGGTGTTCCCACGCCAGCCGAGAGATATAATCTCTTCAGTGTGTCGTGGGGCTGCCCGGGGCCTCCTCCTGGTGGAACATGCCTAGGGCACCTCACCCAACATCTAAGACACCTGCCTGAACCACCTCAACGGGCTACTTTCGATGTGGAAGAGTAGTGGCTCTACCTTGAGCCCCTTCCGAATGGAATCATACGCGGTGGAAACTGACATGATGCTTTGAAACTGGCACAATCACATGAATTCTAAGGCCAATTCATGGCAATTGTATGCATGGTTCAAAAATTAGGTGTATAAACGCACCACTGCTTTGACTCGCAGGTGGTGCCAGAGTGCTCAAGGCCCAGACATGATGAAAATCACACAATGTTTCCAATCAGTGTGCCAAATTTCAAAACGTTTTACCACAAATTCAAATATTTGAAGGAAAAAGAAGAGGAAATACGCTCACTAAATGGAAAGACTGTGGAGGCCTACTGAGTTTTTTTCTGCTTGGCACCATGTTACACATTTTTCTAACCTAAAATGTCATTTGATGTAAAAAGATATTATAATACACAAGCTCGATGAGGTTCAGTAGACAGCAGCAGAGAAAGGGAGTGAAAGAATACAATAAAACATCAAGTCCACTTTGATTGTGGAGCATGTGAGTGTGGGGCCAGTGCTGATTGCCTGATTATTTAGTTAATGGTGCTGTCCTCTGAGACCCAGCTGGCCTGACAGTTCATTTCACTGGACTGGTTCTAAGTTAACAAAAGGAATGTGTCCCCTTTTTGCTGACTTTTAAAAAAGTTATACAGGTAAAAGAAGTTAAATAATGTGCTTCCTTAGAGGCCAAAGTTTTAAACTCATCTGACTGATTATTATTGACCCATTTGTTAGAGTATTGTCACAATACGGCTGTGTGCAGGCAAGAGTAGGACCCAAAACGCAAACTCACAGAGTCAAAAGGTAAACTCAAAAAACACAGCTTTATTGCTGGCGTGGAGTGGGACATGAAAAACAATACAAAATAAACTAAACTGGGAAAACTAAAGCACAAGGAGCCACAGGGAAAAATCACACAGCTATGATGGAGGACGCAACACTGAC